ACTCAAACCAGCACCAGCACCTATACGGGATGTCGGCACTGCAGGCAGCGGCTTTATCCACTACGCCACGGCACCGGCCAGTGGGGTGCTTCTAAAAGAACTGTCTGCTGGGCTGTCATCCACATTTACTCACGAAGCAGCCACTATGTGCCATCATGCCAGGCACCACCAGACTCAACAGTAGCTCAGCAGCCGGCGCTGCGGCTCACTAGGCTAATCCTCCGCCTAGCGGCGCCGGCACACCGGGTTCTAGTCCCGGTCAGGGTGCCGGATTCTGTCCCGGTTGCCCCCTTTCAGGCCAGCTCTCTGCTATGGCCAGGGAGTGCAGTGGAGGATGGCCCGAGTACTTGGGCCCTGCACCCCATGGGAGACCAGGATAAGTACCTGGCTCCTGCCATTGGATCAGCGCGGTGTGCCAGCCTCAGCGCGCCAGCCACGGCGGCCATTGGAGGGTGAACCAACGGCAAAAGGAAGACCTTTCTCTCTGTCTCTCTCTCTCACTGTCCACTCTGCCTGTCAAAAAAATAAATAAATAAACAGTAGCTCAGGATGAATGGAATTCTGAAGACGCTTGATGAGGACGTGCATATCAATAACTAAAATACAGGGCATTTTATATGCAGAGCGCCCCAAGACAACTGCTCCTTCAGATCTGAGTCAGAAGAGGCCTCAAAGAGGGGACATAACTCGAGATTATCCGTGAACAGCTGTGAGGATGATGACAGGTGAAGAGAGGGAAGGAAAGAGTACGAGAAGGCAGGGGAGGCGGAGCCAGCAGGCAGACATGTGAAGGGGGATGTTTAGCTGACAAAGGCGGAGGACAAGGGCTGTGAGCGTCAAACCAAAAAGGTCAGGCCAGACCAAGCTGAAGCCGGCCACGGGGTCTGGCCTTTCGTCAGTGGGCAGCGGGGATCATTTCTCTAGCAAAAGTCATCTGACAGTGGTGGAAATGGACAGGAAGGGGAAAATGGGCAAGATTTTTGTCTTTGATGTCAACAAGCTACAGACACACCAGACTCAACAGCAAGATGGGAAAAGAGGCACGAAAGCAATTTTTGCTGTTGTTGTTTTCATGAGCATTTACTGAGCACCTAGTAGGATCCAGGCCCTCAGCTGGACAAGGAAACAGAAGCACAGGCCACAGGTAAGCCTGGCCCTCCAGTCCCTTAAGCAGGTTTAGAGGTGGACAGGCAGGCCTGCTGTGCTAGCTGGACACTACTCTGGGCATAGCTTTTTTTTCTTTTAATATTTACTTGTTTGAAAGGCATAGTGGCCAGCGCCGTGGCTCAATAGGCTAATCCTCCGCCTAGCGGCGCTGACACACCAGGTTCTGGTCCTGGTGGGGGCGCCAGATTCTGTCCCAGTTGCCCCTCTTCCAGGCCAGCTCTCTGCTGTGGCCAGGGAAGGCAGTGGAGGATGGCCCAAGTGCTTGGGCCCTGCACCCCATGGGAGACCAGGAGGAAGCACCTGGCTCCTGCCTTCGGATCAGCGCAGTGCACTGCCCGCGGCGGCCATTGGAGGGTGAACCAACGGCAAAAGGAAGACCTTTCTCTCTGTCTCTCTCTCTCACTGTCCACTCTGCCTGTTAAAAAAAAAAAAAAAAAAAAAAAAAGGCATAGTTAGAGAGAGGGAAAGGTAGCGAGAGAGATCGTCCATCTACTAGTTCACTCCCTAAATGGGGATAATGGCTGGAGCTGGGCCAGGTCAAAGCCAGAAGCCAGGAGATTCCTCTGGGTCTCCACATGGGTAGAGGGGCCCAAGGACTATGAGCCATCCTCCACTGCTTTCCCAGGCACACTAGCAGGGAGCTGGATCAGAAATGGATCAGCCAGGACTCAAAAGGGCACCCATGTGGGATGCTAGCACAGCAGGCAGTGGCTTAACCCATTATGCCACAATACTGGCCCCAACTGCAGTCATTTCTAATCTGCGGCAGCTCAGCCCTGCAGAGAACAGGGAGGTGGTCTGGGAAGACAGAGTTCTGGGGACTGGTCGCAGAGACTTGAAAGGTGCTCTACCACATTGATGTATGTGTGATAAATGAAGGCTGTGTTAGGAAATAGAGCATGCTCATCACAGAGAAGCCACCCCCGTGCGAGGGCACAGGAGTCCCCTCCTCGGGTCCAAGAAGAAAATAAAGTCAATGACCCACACTTTCAGGAAGAGGGACAGAGAAATGCTGCTGCTGCTGCTGCTGCTGCTGCTGCTGCTGCGCAAACCAGGGGGGACATCACTGTGGGAACTGAGCGATCGGCACTGTTTCCATGGCTTCAGCCTCCACTTGTCCCTGCAAATCCGGATACAAATGAAAGCTGCTGCGTAGAAACTTAGATTGTTTATATTTAACAAAAAAAAATAAATAATAAAAAAAATCCAACCCTGGGAAAACTTGCTGGCCCCAAGGTAGTCTCCAAATCCCCAACGCAGGCTGAGTTATACACAGCTCAGACCAAATACATGCTGCACCCAGGGGGACGGCCATGTTTCTTATCCAGCAAGAAGAATCATTTCACACGATGACCGGTATCGGGCACAAACAGCAAGCCTAAAACTGGCCCTGGATCTTACTCTACATGTAGGACAGACACAGTCTCCACAAAGCTCTCCAGCAAAGAAAAGCCCCAGCTCCCTGACAGGTACAGCTCTGCATCCCCTGCCAGCCTGAGCCTCTGTTTTGCCATTCACATTAAGTGAAAGGTATTTACTACGGATAAGAAATAAGCTTCGTTCAGCTGCCTCTAAACCAATCCCAAAAATAGAGCAATCACTGTGGGACAAATTGGGTCAAATGTATTAAAAAAAAAAAAAAAAGTCCCTAGTGGGAGGCCTGGCATGGCATGGGACCTCGCTCCTAGTTGAGGGAATCCACAGACAGTCCCTTCCCACAGTGGGGAGAGAGCATTCAGAGACAGACAGAGCATGAACCGACCCAGCCAGGGGACCATCCAAATGAAAGCAAGACATGAAACTGAATGCTGTGAGCTTTGGAAGACTCAGCAAAGAGATCAAAGGGATGTACGCTGGTTTTTAGAGAGGCCTGGCAAACTAACGCACTTGCCAAGAAAGGCCCCACTGGGGAGAGACAGTGGGGAGGAAGGAGAGAGATTCATCCATTTCCTGTACCTCACTCCCTCGGGTCTCAGCTGAGAACTCCAAACTGTCTGACAGCACTTAGATGAGGGCCCTGAATTTCCCTGAGAAAAAAAGTCAGAATATTAATTGGCTTACACATGCAGCTACATTAATTATTCCATTGATCTGAATTAATCTGCCCTTCTGAAAGGTATTTATTTGCTAAGTTTGTTTAATCATGTTCTCTTGAGCAACAAACTGGGTCACCATCCACGCCGTTAAATTTGGTAACAAGGCTAACACCATCTGTGGCCTAGACGACGAAGATCTGACTCGACGGATGCGGCAGCTTCTCACCACCGCTGCTCTCCCTTTAAAGCGACTGTCTGCCGTCACGTGTCTATGATGCATCAGAAGCTGTTTCAAATGCCTCACATTACACGGGTGATCATGAGCACACTACGTGTTTACAGATGGATCCACCTCCCATGAACAGTAGTGTCTTCAGCAGCAATAGCCAAAATGTTTCTGCAAATTCTCTGGGAACCAAACTACGAAAGCCCTCGCGCACACACACAGACATCGTGTTACACCTGAACTACACCACAGCATTTTAAAGGGATGTGAGCCCCTCCACATCAACCATTCCAACTGCATTCCTAACAGCATAATAACACCCTCTTCGGAAGCCAGCAAGCTCTGCCCCACCAAGGGGAGCCTGGTATGTCTGCCTTTACAACACTCAGCTGGAACATGTAGTACCGCTAAGATCCGCTTCAACCTGAGAAACCAAAGGCAAACAGAGCAACCAGGGAGGAGAAGGCGGCAGAACACAAGAGCCTCCCATGCCCTGGCACTGTGGCCTCCTCCGCCTGCCATGGGCTCGGGCTCCACAGTGAGAACCAAGTCTTGCAAGCACCATGCTGCAGCACCAGAAAAACCCTGAAACAGCTCTGCCTTATCAAAGAAGGACCACAGAATCTCAGCCGTAAAACCACTCCTGGGGGTCTCCTTATACCATCCTTATAACTGCCACGTAGGTGATGGGCAATGTAGAACAAGCTACGAGCAAGGCCCCAATACAGAACCACTGGGCAGCCAAGTGACACAAGCTCCTAGTCCCCACCTAGGGCTCTTGGGTGCTATTTTTTCCAATGATTAAACTTTATTAGCCTTTCCCAAAGGGAGATCCGTGGAACACCAATTCTGTGATGCTAAAGTCTTCTGCTGAGAAAAAATAAAAAAGTTTAAAGCATCCATGTCAAACGACTTCCAGGGTCGAACTGAGTTAAACAAAACGAACTGAGAGGTTCCCAGAGGTACTATGAAGCTAATGTGCACCGTCAGTCTTTAAGAGAGCATTAAAGTATATGGAGGTATCCCAACTCATTTCTTCACAGAACCATTATCTCTTGGGGTAGTCCAGAGGACTTGGCATGGACGCTTCAGTACTATCTCGTATAATTCTCCAAATTATGCTTTATGTAAATGAATTTGTTTTGTCATACTCTACTCCAAAAATTAACAGCTCATGTACAAAGTCTGTAATTCTCTACTTACCAGAAAAATTGACCAAAGTACCCATACCACTCCCAAAAAAACCCTGGATTTTTCTGATGTTAATATTACCAGGAAAAGAATGGTAGAACAGCAAAAGCTTATGTGGAAAGAAAAGTTATTTTAAAATCTGCTACAAATCTCTCCCATAAAAAGTCCCACATCTATTTATACAAGATTCATGACTTTAAACACTTTCATTCAGTAAATTTGAGAATACACGTCAGAAAACACAAACTTCAAACCCCTGCTGCAAAGCTCCAGGAAACACCACGCGCACCGCTGTCAACTCCAGCTCCTCGGAAGGCCAGCCAGGTCTAGCAGCAAACACTGAGTTCCCCGGGACGAGGAGGAACTCTAAGGACACTTACCAAGTTATGATTTGTTGAATTAGAATCATCTTCAGGGAATGGGATGTAAATAGCTAAGGCCACACAATTGGCAAAAATAGCCAATAATATAAATATGTCAAATGGTCTGAAAAGATTCTGTTAAGGTTTATATGTGTTTAGCAAACGTAAACCATCTCTCTCATCACACCCTTGATCACACCACTTGAGTCGCTTTTAAAATGAAAATGATAGACGCACATCATTTTTCAGTTGGCTCTCACGACGACGAGGTTCTCAGCAGGAAGAATGGTGAGTGGCCAGGTAGAGCCTGCTATCCGATGACCTCTCCATGTCCTTTCCTTGGGCTGCAAGGATCGTGTTACACTCATTCTTCAGGAACACTGTATAATAAGACTGCCCATCCACTGAGGGCACTGTGTGAACAAGTCTCTGCTTCTTGTAGTTTTAAAAGTGACAAAGCCCTCACTAAATTCCCAGCTGTCCCAGACCCAGAGAAGTCATCACAGGATAAACCTCTTCCCCAGATCTCCACCTCTGTGTGGTAGAGCTGTTTTCTCAGGGGCTATTCTTGGCTGGGTCAGGCTAAATCTCCAGTCAGGCCTGGGATGGGCCAAGTCACTAGAAGCTTCTAGTTCTACCTGTGACCTTCTCCGGTCCACCTGTGACCTCAGACACGGAGACATGCAAGCCAGGCTTCAGCTCCCTCCACTGCTTCCTCTTCTGGTGATACTACTCTAACTTCTCCAGATTAGAACTGGACTGGAGCTCAGTGTATAAGCTAAACAAACCGCATTAAAAGCCATAAGCAATCAGCACCAGGCACTTGCAAAGTAGGTTTAATAATTCTCAATTCTCAATCTTGCTGGCCAGTCCAGAGAATCACTCTGAGATCAGCTCTCAACAGTCCCACACTTAGACCTGCTGATGTTACGAGACGCTGCCATCGCCGGCAATACCGACTTTGACATCTGCCGTAACAACAACTCCTTTTCATGTTCAGCCTTTCCGAGGGTTTCAGGAGCACCACCCTCAGCCGCAATTCCCGGGCTTGCTCCAGTGCCTCCACACCTCCACCGACTAGAGGCAAGGCCACTGGCTTAACTCTAACAGACTGCTCTCCCTCCATCCTGACACCCATCCAGGAAATCCGAAAACTCTGTACGGCACAGACACCCCTTATCTCTCTGAAGATACCTGGAGTTCGAGAACCCTCAGCCCCCAGAAGAGCTTTGGGAAGTCACTGGAATAAGACATGAGTAACATTATCCCTGTACTAACTTTGATGGGCTTACTTTTTAAGCCAGTTAGCTGTAATCATATTGATTCTCTTAAGTCATCGAGTGTTGCAAAATCTTGTCTCCAGGGATTCAAGCTAACGACAGCTGCCTTCAGAAGACTTCAGAATTCCCTCTTCACCTTCCCTCTGAAAGTTCCAAAGTCAATTGCCCCAAGTTATTCCCTACAGAAACACACTTAGTCTCTCCCCTCTCCCGCACCACCCTGCTTGCTTTTCAACTTCCCAGGACCTAAATGTAAACCTGGACATCTGAGAAGTACTAACACTGCTTAGGAAGGCCAGACAGGAGGTTTATATTTTTTTTTCTTTCTACAGGTCAGTTTCAGTCTTGAGAAACCAAGCAGATATCATCTCCCTGCCACAAGGCTTTCCAGAACAGAGCAGGAGGGAGGGCTGAAGCTCTGCTCCCTCCCCCAGGGTGAAAGACACCCCGACCTGCCCCGCTACAAAACCAAACTACTGTCTCCTCTCCTGGTGCTGCTCAGGCCAGACGCCGCTGGCTTAGGAAAAATTTCAATACTCTGTTCCCTGAAACACAAGGGAACTGACATTCAAAGAAACACAAGTGGTCCCTCTTAGCATTTCAGGATCTATGTTTTCTAGACTGTCCCATTCAGAAGCAGGCTTCTCCCTGAACTGGCAGCAATACGCCCAGATCCTGTACACACACACGTGTCTGGCAACTTGCAAGAGGCAGACAGCAGCACGATCCAGGAAGCCACCCTGCACACAGCCATTGCTCTGTACAAATTACTGTGCACAAGGAGAAACAGCACTGGGCCTCCCACCTCACTCCACATAAAGTTAATGACCCCACTGAGAGGTCTCTGCTTACTCAGAGTCAGGCTAAGGAGGAGGAGCGCTCTCTGGCCGTGACTCTGACGCCGTCACTGCCGAGGCACCCCCTGATGTGCCCTCCTGGCCTGCCACGAGTGTTCTGTCCTTGGACTAGGGAAGAACTTGCAGAGAAAATGCACAAACCCAACCACAGCCACGGGAAAGACACCATAAGTCACTGGAGAGAGGCAGCATCTGTTCTAAAAAGCAGCAGCACGGGAAAATCTCTCCAGCCCTTCCCTAGCACTCGGCAGCTCTCGCTAAACCCCTTCTAGACAGTTACCTCATTTTAACTCCTCTCCACCGGCAGAGAAAACAGGAGCTAAGACAGAGGGCAGACTAAGAGCTGCCTAGCAGGGTGCAGCTGGCTCCCACCACCCTCCCCTTTGAGCCCAGCCTCTCCGCTGGGGCTGGGCCTGGTGGAGGAAGTCCTCTGTGGCACTGCTTCCTCCGACTGGACACTGCTGGAAGGTGCCTGCCAGCCCCACACACACTTCAGAGGGAGAGCAGTGCTTGGTTTTCCCCAGGACACTGAAGCCTCTGAGTAACCAGAGAGCCACTGCTCAGAAAGGCCTAGGTCAACTCTTCCTAAAGAATGGCAGTCGCCAGAGCCCAGCCTCTGGGTCGGGGAAGGGGGTAAGCCTGTAGCAGGACAATGGTTTTCCAAGACCGTCCTGGGGCATCTGGAGTTCAGTTTTAAAAATACAAAAGGAGACACCCAGAAATGCAACTCCAGGCCAAGGACACAGACAGGATTTTTTTTTTTATAAAGGCAACAACTGCAAACTCCTCCATGGAAAGGGTTGTTCTGTAGGTCCAGGGGCTCAGGACAAAGAGGCACATAGAGATAGACCTTTCCCCTCACCCACTCCTCACTCACTTATGTCCCAAGTGCAGTTTTAGAACTTGTCAAAAGGAAATTCCAGGAAGTCACAGCATCGATCAGCAAAACAAAGCCATCAAAAGCACTCCCTATCGAGCAAGTATGCCTATCCTAACTGCCTTCAAATTTCAAACATCAGAATGAAGATTCAGTTAGAGGTCAAAAACGTATTCACGTCCAATAAAGTCTCACAGAGTGGTTTTTTTAATTGGCGTAGCTTAAGTGCAATAGGTTCAATATATAACTAATGCCCCAAAACAACAGTGGATGAAAACGAACCATCTAGTGTCCAATGACCAAAAGTTAGTTTCATGTGTCAACAATCACTTTGAAATTTCAGGCTCACTCCCCCCACTACTACCATTACGCACAAGCATACACACACACATAGAGGAGACTCACAGACTCACCCTCTGCAACCTGAGGAGTCAGGAAAGTATAAACAGCAAAACCCCTTACCCACAGCTTTCGTCTGTGGCTCTCACATTCCACAATGCTACAGCTTTGTGTCATTTCAGAAAGCAAATCTTTTTAAAGAACAGATGGTAAAAGAGAAAACCAGGAAGGTTCTTCCTCCCCCACCCCCTACCCCAGGAAAAGGATACTTCCATTCCACTATACTAATGCAGGCTCTCCGGATGGGGTTATTGAGTGACAGACAGAAAAGGGCGCGGGCGGGCCGGCTGTTGGACGAGCTCCCCTGTTTTTTGCTCTTGGCGTATTGCTGACGTTTTCTTTGGGAGAGAGATCCTACAGGTGGGGGTGCAGAGGTGCTCATGGTTTGGGCAGCCTTGGCCTGTCGAGCAGCGTCGATAGCAGCCTGCCAAGACAGGACAGTTTGCTTGGAGCTGTTCGGCTGAGAAGTTGGTCCTTCCCCAGAAAGAGGGAGTCTGGTGCCTCTTGCATAGTTTGCCTCTGGGGAAAAGGAGAAAAACAAAGATTTTTTTTAAAAAAGATGAGATTCTAGTGTGTGAGGTGAAGCAAGCTTATCACCCAGCAATCCCAGGGCGGGGTGGGGGGTGTTCATGCCTATGTGTCCACGGTGAGCCTCTTGTTCTGATCAGGCAGAAAAATCCACGCACGGCGCCCCAGTGTCAATCCACGGGAACCTGCTGCACCACGCCCATTCTCTACCAGGAGTTTTGCTGCGCATTCCTTCTGAGAAGCCGAGGTCATCCCTCACTGACTCCACATCTCTTCTGACTTTGAAAACCCGTGCGTCGCTAATGAGTTAAAAGACATGTACAACCGCTTTTCCTAAATAATCACCACCATTACCAAGGGGGGGGGGGGGCGGAGGCAGTGCCAATAATTCGATAGTCTTAATCATTTCCAGGGTGTTACTCCAACATCTTTCCACAATACGATTTTTTTTCAGCATGGAAAAAAAAAAAAACCATCCACTAGCACAGGGGCAGCACCAAAAGCCCATAACAAATATCTAGATTATGCACTGACACTTCCTGCAAATGAAAATTCATGATGCTTGGGACTCATTTCCTCCACAGGCTTCCGAAAACAGAAAACATCTTTAGGGCTTTTTTGCATTTTAAATTGCAGCAGCAGCAGCCAAGGCAGCATCCAGGGAGACAGAGAAGGAGGTTGGCCAGCACCCCTAGCACCCCAACACACCTAGGATACACAGGCAGGAAGGTGCGGGGGGCCTGGAGGCCTAGGCAGGAACCACCTCAGTGGAAGCCAGCATCCAGGTACACACGAGGCAGAAACCCAAGGGGGCCTCCCAGTGCAAAGCCCCCTCTGGCTTTGGGTCGGGCCAGCCCCAGGGCAGCCCTCCCAGGCACCTGCCGGCCTCGGACCACATCCTCCTCACTAAGGCAGAGGTCAGAGAGAATCTGCAGCGAGGCTGAGGGACCGGCATTTGCACAAGAAACGACTGCTAAGTCAAGAGTCAAAAGCAAGCACCGGTCTGCCTGCCCAGCAAGCCCGAGGAGGGAGCAGAGCGGTCAGGCAGCAGCCAATCTGGGCCGGGATGAGCCCTGCCAAGCCTTTCCCTCGGGGTGCGCTCACCCGGAAAGGCTTGAACCGGGGCTGGGGGGCGCCGGCAGTCTCCAAAGAGGGGGACTGTCCAGGCACTGCCCCAGCCCCAGTCGACCCAGCCGCGGCCGGCGTAGAAAGCGCACGTGGCGGCCGGGCCCGGGCCGCGACTCCCGGGCATCGCTAGGTTACCGCCGAGCGCGTCGCGGGCAGGGACATGCACTCCGCCGGGCCCCTTCCCTTGGGTCGCGGGACCCGGCCTCCAGCGTCGGGCCGGAGAGGGGTGCGCTTCACCCACCAGCGCCTAGGGTGACACCGGACAATCCTAGAATTTTCCGGATGCCACCAGGGGACCTTCTTCCTAAAGGGGGAGGGGGCGGGGGAGGAGAGAAAGGCTAGGAGCGACCGGGAAGGGGGCTCCGGCCAGACCCCAGCAGCCCCCTCCTCTGCTGCCTGGCCCGGGGGCGTTGAGGCAAAGTTGAGCCCGAGGACTCGGAACCTGCAGCGTCTCGGGCCGCTCAGCGCTCCACGGCCGCCCCCACCCCACAAATGCAGAATTAACTCTGACATTCAGGGCCTCAAGGGGAGAGCGGAGTGGCTGCAGCGCATCTCCCCTCCGCCGGCGGACGGCACCGAGCTGGGAGCGTCCTCGCCACCCCCCTCCACGCAGCCGGCGCGGCGGAGCCGCGGGGGGCGGGGGCGGGCAGGGGTGGGCACAGGGCCGCGGCGGGGACCGGATCCGGCCGCGGGCGCCAAGGCTTAGCTGCTCACCGTTCGCGTGGTCCGCTTGCTGCTGCCGTTGATGCTGCATTTTCTTCATCATCATCATCATCATCATCCACGAACATTGATTGAGCGCCTACTGTGTGCAGGGCACTGTGCTGGGCGCCCGGGCTGGGGACGCACAGGGAAGGGGGTTCCCGAGCACGCAGAAGACGCGGTCCCTGCCCTTATTCTCGCTCCGGCAGGGGGTGGGGAGCGCCGGGGACAAATAACAGAAAATACGGATAATTTATAAAAACCGCTCGCCACCCACGCTCCCTCTTTTTCAAAAATGGAGCAAAATAAACTTTTTAAAAAAATAAAATCAGATGTATATATTATCTCAATAATATATACATGGAATTTTCTTTTTTTTTTTTTTTTCCTTTTTTTTTTTCTTTGCTGCAAAGGAGAATTGGCTTGGTCCGCTCCACTAGCGGAGGGGCGCCGCGGGGATGCCGGCCCGGCCGCCGGGGCCGCTCGGGGCGCCCCCCATGCCGCCTGCCGCCGCCGCCCGCCGCCCGCGCCGCCGCTGGCTCGGGACCACGGGCAGCCCGAGCTCACATCCGGGGACGGAGGCGCTCGCCCGCCCGCCCGCTCGCTCCGCGCCCGCCGCGCCGCGCCGCACGCCGGCTTCGCCCTGGCGACGCTGCGCGCCCGCCGCCGCCGTCCCCCGCGCTCCCCCCGCCCGCCCGAGCCTCCCACGGGCCGCGCCGCGCCGCACCCCGGAGACCGCCCGCGGCCCGGGGCCCTGTGCGCTCGGCGTGGCCGCCGCGTGGGATCCGGGTGCAGCCCGCACGGACTGGCCCGGCGAACCCGCGGGCTCCAGGGGGTTAAGCGCGCTCCTGCCGCGGGCCGCGGGGTTAACCCCCTCCGCGCCGCAGGGTGTGCTTGCCGGGCTCCCGGGGAACAGGCGGGCGGCGCCTGTGCATCCCGCGGCGGCGGAGCGCGGATTAACCGCTCCTCCCCCTGCATTTCTGGAAGGAGGGGGTTGCGGGCAGTGGAGGCGGGGCGGGGGGCGTAAGCTCCAGAGCCCGTACTGGGCTCTCCTCGTGGTACTCCGGGTCGGCACACCTGGAGGAGGCCCCGCCCCCTGGGAGCACAGGTGCGAGCCGGAGGCAGTGACTGCGCTGCCGAAGCGCGCCCTGCGGGGGCCCTGCTCAGGTCCCTCGCGCCTCCAGAGCCTGGCAGGCGCACTCTCCCGCTGGGGGGATGGGAGCCTGCTCTCCAGAGAGCGCTCGCTGCCCCAGGTAACCGCGTCTCTCTCCCACCGGTTCTACAGAGCGCCCCCTCCTCCCTCCCACCGCACCCTGGCGCCGCCTTAGCCGAAGGGCGGGGTGGGGGGGGCGAGCTGTGCCCTCCTCCCCTCCCCTCTCCTCCCCCACCGCGAATGTGCGGAGGCAGCGACGGGGGAGTCGGCGCCAGGGTCTGCGGGTTTGCTATCGCAGCCGGTCGCTGAGCCCCGCGCTCTGCTTTGTGACAGCTTCGCCGTCGCGTCCTCTGGGCACGGAGAGGCCCGCCGACGGCAGCTCCTGTCTGGAGGGGAGAACGGTGTCATCTGCTGGATGACTGATAGTTTTCATTTCGGGTCCGTGCCGGCTGTCGGAGAAGGGTATCTGCCTTGTTGCTTCCCGGGACGCGGTTTATTTGCTTTTGTTCCGATCTGCGTGTTCCCACCGCGTTTCAGAACGTTTGAGAACTGCGCGGATTAGCGTTTATGGGAAGGCGCTCCTTGCTCAAAGAAGACACACTGGGCATCCTGGGGGGAGGGGGGAGGCAGGGGTGACTGCGAAGAACCAGGTTCTCTTGCTCCGTTTGGGGAAAGAAGAGAGCAGGGAATCAGCCCTGTGGCCTAACGGTAAGGTAACCATGGCCCAGGCCGGTCGCCTAGAGCTGTTTCCCAGCCAGGATCTAACGCGAGAGAAGACAGCTCCCTTCCCAGAGCCACCCCGCCGTGAAACAAGCGCACAGCCACTTTCAGGTCTCCCGGTCAGAAGCCCTGCCTCTCCAGCCCTTTTCTGCAAAGTCCACTCTTACTGTTTGTTCAGAATTCCACCCCTACTCCACCCTGTTCGGCCGGTGTCCATCATAAGGCACCAGCTAAGGACAAGGGTCAGGACACTTGTACTGCACCGGCGCTTCCCTCCACCACAGTCTGTGAAGGAAATAAAAGAAGGTGTGCGTCTCCTGCGGTGCAGAAGACGGGAGCTGAAGGGAGCAGGTACCAAGCAAGCGTCGTCCGAGGTTTAATTGAGGGGATCAGAGTTTTCACAGAAGAGAAGGCATTTTGACTCAATCTTTAAATCTGACAGGCACTGTGGGGGAGGGGGGAGGAGTGGGATGAAGAGGTGGAGCCCAGGGCAATGTTAGGGCATCGGAGCTAATGTGTCTGACACCATAGTGATGGATGTAGGACACTGTAAAGGTATCAAAACCCACACAACACAAAAAGAGGACCTAAGTTAACAATCATGCATCAGCACTGGTTCATCAGTGGTTACAAATGTATCACACTAATGCAAAAGAATAGTAATAAGAGAAATCATTGGAAGAAGGAGTATATTGGAACTGTGTACTTACTATGTAATTTTCCTGTACACTTAACTGCTCTTAAAAAATTTTCTATCAAAAACAAGAAGTTAGGGCCTGGCACTGTGGCACAGTGGGTTAAAGCCCCAGCCTGCAGCACCAGCATCCCATATGGGGGCCAGTTTCAGTACCGGCTGCTCCACTTCTGATCCAGCTCCCTGTTAATGTGTCTGGGAAAGCATAAAATGGCCCAAATTCTTAGCCCTCTGCACCCACATGGGAGACCTGGAAGAAGCTCCTGGCTTTTTTTTCCATTCAGCTCGAGCCATTGCAACAATTTAGGGAGTGAACCAACAGATGGAAGACATCTCTCTCTCTCTCTCTTTTTCTCTGTAACTCTTTCAAATAATCTTTAAAAAAAAAAAAAACCAGGAGATTAATTTTTATGAATGGGATAAGAGGAACGAGCTTTGAGGGTAAGAATGAAAGCATCAGAGAGACCTAAGTGCAGGCAGGGCAGGGCATGTTTGAAAATAAGCAAGGGGCTGTTGTGGGGGCTCAGTGGGTGAAGCTGGTGCCTGTGACACCAGCATCCCATATGGCGCTGGTTTGAGTCCTGGGTTCCACTTCTGATCCAGCTCCCAGCTAATGCACCTGGGAAAGCGGTGGAGGAGGATGGTCCAAATACTTGGGCCCCTGCACCCACTTGGGAGACTGGGAAGAAGCTCTTGGCTCCTGACTTCTGGCTTCGGACCACTGCGACCAACTGGGGAGTTAGCCAGCAGATGGAAGATCTCTCTCTCTCTCTTTAACTCTCTCTCTGTTAACTCTGCCTTTCAAATAAATAAATGAATATTTAAAAGGGGGGGGCAGGAGTGCAGTGAGACTGACACAGGTAACCTGGTCCAGGAGAGGAAGGAGCAGAGAGGAAGGAGGTGGGCAGCGGGCACAGGAGTCCAGTTCCATGCTCTCTGCAGTGAGGAAATGTGAGCTGGGAGCGGCACGATGAAACTGCGGCATGGCCTCCTCCAGGCCACTCTGCTGCAGGTCTCACTGAAATAGATCTTGCTTTTAAATACAAAAAAAAAAAAAAAGTGGCATGGGGTTTACGCTCCCACTCTTAATGAGTATATGGAATTGGAGTTTTTGACATTTCATCCTTGCAATGTCTCCAGCAAGGCTTTTGTTTGTTCTTCCAAGCTGGCATTGTGGCACAGCAGGGTTAAGTAACCACCTGCAACACTTGCATTCCAGATGAATGCAGCTTTCTGTCCTAGCTGCTCCACTTCTTTATTTATTTTTTAATTAGTTAATTTGTTTATTTGAAAGGCAAAATTACAGAGAGAGAGGACGAGATCCATCCTTTGGTTCACTCCTCAAATGTCCACAACAGTCAGCCTGGACCAGGCCAAAGCCAGGAGATTCTTCTGGGTCTCCCACGTGCATTCAGGGGCCCAATACTTGGGCCATCTTCTGCTGCTTTCCCAGGTTCATTAGCAAGCAGCTGGACAGGAAGTGGGGTAGCTGGACTCAAACTGGCACCCATGTGGAATGCTGTTGTTACAGATGGTGGCTTAACCCACTTTGCCTCTGCACCTGCCCCAAGCTGCTCTACTTCTGATCCAGCTCCCTGCTAATGTGTCTGGGAAGGCAGCAAAACATTTGGCCTAAGTACCTGGGCTGCCGCCACCTATGTGGGATACCCAGATGGTGTTCCAGGCTCCTGGCTTCAGCCTGGCCCAACCCCAGCCCTTTTGGCCATTTGGGGAGTGAACCAACAGATAATCAATCCCTCTCTCTCTCTCTCTCTCTCTCTCTCTCTCTCTCCCCCCTTCCCTCCCTTTCCCTCTCTCCCTCACTCCCTCACTCCCTCTCCTTTCTCTCCCTGTGTCTGCCTTTTGAATAAATAAATCTTCTTAAAAATTTATATTCCCCAATAGAGTAAATTAGTGAACAAATAAATCATAGCTTATATTTTGTAAAGGCTTCCTTTGTGTGCCAGAATCTAATGTAAGTATTTGACATGGATGAAGTCCTGGCATTCCCATTGCTACAAGGTATGTGACAAGTACTGTGATAACCTCATTTTATAGGTGACAAAACCAAGTCACCTAGGAGTTAAATAATTTGTCCCCAGCCACACACAATTAATCTAGTGGCTGAGACAACAAGGAATGAGGAAAAGCTAGAATAAAATTTCACCTCTAAATCAGCACATAGGCTAAGACCCAAATCTGTCATTAACACTCCATTGTGAAGTCCTGATCTCCATGGCTGCACTTGAGCGGTCACCAAAAAGTTCAGCAAAAAATACATATTATGAAAAAAACTATGTATGGATTTCAAAATTTTCTGGCACCACAATACGCATACTTTCTTCTTTTTTCCATGAATTTTGGAAGTCCCTATGTCTATAAAACAGTCCCGTTTGAAAGTACTGAACAGGCATTCTGCATGGATAGGATTCCCTGCGTGCACTGCATCTGAAAGAACCTTGCTGACGCCTCCATCCAGAGCCTCACACCAGAAGCCCTGGACCAGGAGCCAGATGCCCTCCCTCCATTCTTCCTCCCATACATAATGTATCTGATGCTCAGAAATCACCCTATCACTTCCCTAACCAACCAAACAGCAGCTGTTTCCCTTTCCTCCCACATCCATCCTCCGCTCCTCTGACTCGCCTTCAGCCTTCTCCTTTCACCCCATTCGCCTTCACTGTGGTCTGCAGTCTCCTCACTAGCCCATGAACATGCTGTGCTCATTTTTTTTTACAGGCAGAGTGGACAGAGAGAGAGAGAGAGACAGAGATCTTCCTTTGCCGTTGGTTCACCCTCCAATGGTGCACTGCTGCCGGCGCACCGCACTGATCCGAAGGCAGGAGCCAGGTGCTTATCCTGGTCTCCCATGGGGTGCAGGGCCCAAGCACTTGGGCCATCCTCC